GGAGCGCCGAGGAGGTAACCCCGTGCTCTCCCCGACGGAAGAGCTATCCCCTAATCTATAGGGCCAATCTTAGGGTCGGGACGGTAACGAGTGGTTAACAATTTTGGCGCCGTACCGGCTCGACCAGGCGGGTCGCAGATGACCTTTTGGCTTTTTTTTATAGTGTTATCTGTCGTGCTGTGTATAAAAAACAAAACCATGATACTGAAAAAGCATCTTCATTTCTTCAATTGTTCACGCGACATTATGCACACCTTTTGGTACCTATTGTAACACTAACAGCACGTGCCGTGCAAGGCCGAATACGATTATGTAATGCATAAAAAATCGCTTATTTCATTTCAATTATTTGAGCCATTTTGTGGCAGTCAGCATCTTATCAATGAAAGCTAGGTGTGCAACTGAGACGCATTCGTATTCATTACCGATGCTACTGCTTCGAATATTACACCGCAGATTCCTGGCGTCGCCAAAGCCTGCCGTCAGTGGCACCGGATGCTACTGTATCGCTTCTACAGGTAGATATGTACCCTCTCCTCAATGCATGGCCGGCTCAGGGGCCAGGTGACCGTATACGTACTAACTGTATACAGTGACCCGCCGCTGCTGCGACAGGGGGAGGTCTGGCAGCACCGTCCCGTGCCGCTCTCGATTCCTGTGCCGCGTCCGCCGGCTGCTCCGTATGCCGGCCGTGCTCCAGGGGCCTCGGTCCGAATACGACTCCCCTGTTCAGGTGTGAAGACAAACGGCCATTGAACCGCGACCGCTCGTGCTGAGACATAAACGGCGCCCGCGCCGGCGCCCGCGCCAAAAGCGGCGCGCAGTGTCGTGGCGCGGCTCAGTAGCCGGATGGAGGTTCGAAAATCAGCTGACTTGTGTGGTCAGTTCCGAGGTCTAATGGGGTTGTTGAATCACAAGTCTGGTGCTTGCTAGTGGTCATGGAGTGGCATATCGTTATGAAATGCTGTCGTGCTGTAGCTGCCTTGCCAACGTAAGTAGCTATTGGGGGAGTGGCCAGGCAATGTGAAACGGTGTATGCGCCATCGGAGGGGGTCGGCCAATTACCAATTATGTGGAAACACAGTCGCTACAAAAATATAACAAATATTAGGCAGACAAGGTCGGGCTCAGGCTCCTCGGATATCGTTTGTTTTTGCGTTATGGTGCAATTCAATGCTAACATTTCCTCCAAAAAGAAAATGCAAAGTTTTGTTTTATACCAGGAAAAATATGCTAAAAAACAATTTCTGGGTGCTGCGAGAAAGGTCAAAGTTCCTAATGCCCTTCCTTGGATCCATCCGGGGCCAATTTGTGGGGAACCTTGGTCTAAGCATGCTCAAAATATAGGAATGGTGAACGCTGGAATGATGATGGATTGGGATAATGACCCATGTAGCACTAAATTACTCAGGGGTGTCGTTTTCCGAAAATGATTGGTAGTGCCCAAAGGCGGCGGCTGGCCATATATGACGGGGCTTACAAGGAAGGGTACCCCCAAATCTGCCTTTCTCATCGGATTTCGGCCACTTATTTTTCGCCCTGGTCATTGACAAGACTAACCGAAATCTAAAAAAACACACAAAAAAACTTTGGAAATATGGGTCCACACCGGACGCCATGCACAAAACGTGCAGTTATATAGGCAATAGTGTCGGAGGAATGCACGCCATTCTGAAAGAGGCCCACATCGACAGGACGGCTGTGCTGAAAGGGGACAGGAACAGCTTTGAGGGCCCAAGCCGACTAAAAAAGACGGCTGCGGGGCCAGGAACGGTTTTGAAGACCCACGCCAATTGAAGGGTTCGACAACTAACGAGGACTGGAAACACAACGATAGTTAGAAAGACCTGCTTGCCAAAATACAAGGATGACAGTACGAGGGGCGTTCAGAAAGCTACGGGCCCGACCATGAAGGAGCAGAGAGATACAGCATCGACTCATTAGACCAAAAAGTTCATTTATTCAAATAAACACCGTTAAGACAAACACATTTCGCGCAGCGCTTCGCGAGAGCCCTCAAGGCCTCCATAACCAAGTGGGTTTTGGACCCATCCTGCACGTCCAAGACGGCTGATTTCGTCTCCCTGCTGTTAGCGAGGTTGCCGCTGCTAATTTTCTTATGTTGGGGAAGAGGTGGCAACCACTAACCAGAGTGTGCAAGGTTCGGAGAGAAAAAAGTGGATGCGACAACAACTCGAAGCTCATCGCTTCACTGTTCGTCATCCCGCCCATGTACGCAGGTGCGTGGTCGCGGATCAGGTGCACACTTTACGTCAGCTTCCCTATAGCCTCTCCTCGATGTTTATCGAATGGACGCACATCATCAATTGTGTGCCCCTGTTTTGGAAAGTTGACGAGCGGAGGGGGGTCGCATCGACCCCTCCCCCTGCCAGGCCGTGTTATGAAAAATGCCCAGGGCGAGGGTTAACGCTTGGTGCCTTTTCTGCACTAACTACTATGAAACGAATCACTGCTCTCTTCTGGGCGTCGCCCATCCTATCCGAAATGGCGAACTATGCTACGAATAGAAGCCCGAATCAATCACAGAAGAGACTTAATTAATGGCCACTTACTTAATTTGCGTAAGTGGACATCCCAATAACACATCATTTAACACACCGCCTTGCAGGCCAAAATTCCAACTCCTTCATTGTTCGGCCCGAAACTTTTTGAACGCCCCTCGTAGTTACGAGCTTCAGTTTTCGGGGTCTGATGCGGTAATGACCTGGCGTTGAACCCTGGGGAATCAGGCTGCATCACCCACTCAAATCAATATACCTATGGCCTATTCTGGAGCACCGCGGCACCTTCCGAAGTCGGTGTAGGGCCTCCAGCGGCTGGTGTGGAGACGGATCGGGGTCTATTAGGGGCGGTCGCGTGGTATGCGGGACTCAGAGGCAGTTATGGACCTCTATAACCAATTGCGTTTTCGAGCCTCTTAAAATCCATTAAGGACCGGAGTCCTAGACACGTGAAACCTCATTGTCAGCTACATGCACCTACTGTGGCTAGAACCTTATTTATGTACTTTACTTGCATATGTGCTTATTTAATATTTGCTTATCTGTTTATTTTGATTTTTTATTAACTGATAAGTGACAAAAGATTGGTAGGGCTCAGCGAACATTGGTAGGGCCCAAATAAACATTGGTAAGGCTCGGGCCCTACCAGGCCTATACAAAACGACGCCCCTGAAATTACTGCCCTCAAGCGCACTCCACTGGTCACCTAAAATGGCTTTCACTCAGCAATTTACGGTCATGTACGATTGACATATTCCTGTTGGCTGTTACATCCACATTAACATTTAAGAAAAGCCTTAGCTCTTCGCTCCGTGGACAATAAAGTTCCTTATGCGTAATTGCTTCAGTTACAAGCTGAAACTATCCAAAGTAGGTATCGAGTGAGGTAGAAAAATGTTAGTAATCCATGGGATCTACCAAAAGAACAAAATCCCCAGGTAACTTTTCAACATTTGCAACATAAGCGATTTCGACTATTGACAAAGCTTACAAAGCTATACATTTATAATAAAAAGTCACTTAGGAAGTCGAATTATTCTAACTACCATCAATAGATGCCGTACATCCATTTTAGCACTGGTGTATTCCGGTACAGCCTACGCGTGCAGGCATTTCGTGCTTATTGGCGGTGTACTGCGGTACAGCCTATGTAACTTGTAGTGCCGAATGCCGTGATTTGGTACTGTGGTTCGGATTATAACGAATTTCAGCTAAAAGCTCTCGATAAGCTTTGATGAGAACGACGTTCGACAAGCCAACAAAGACAGCACTTCGATGAATACTGCAGAGTACCGTTTATCACTCTAATTACTGCCCAATGTAATTAGGCACATTCGGCACATGAGCACAATCCAACCTACACAATCTGAATGTGACGGCTGGCGTACAGAAGCAAATATGAAAACGGCCCTCGAGCTCACCGCAACCAGACAAGACAACGCGTCGTAGCGCCGCCCTGCCGACGACATACAGCTCCGACGAAGCCGGGGAGAGTACACGCCGTGACTGTCAAGAGAGCTATCTGTCGACAGTCTCTATTGGAAACACTGTCATGGAACTGCTCTCTTTACAGCCGGCTGTATCACAGCGAGATCGGTCGTCACTCATCCAGTGATTCGTCTCACGGAATGAGGAATCAACAATATTCGTCTGGTTAGAAGTATTTAGGGCATTGGTGATAAGCTTCTAAATGAAATTCGTCTTGCTATTGCGTTGCCAACCGAACATGAAAGGCACCCTGTCAGTGTTACAGGCACCTATACCTGGACTGTTATTCGCTTCATATCGACTTATACGGAGGTATTAAGTACAGAACGCCGCACATATCCCAGTAAATTATCTATTCAAACTTCGAGTTTTCGTTACCGTAAGCCTTCTGCCGAGCATTACAAATATCGCTACAATAATTGTGACCTTGGGGAACGGACGATCGCAGAGGTGCGTCCCTTTCACACAGAATATGTCCGCCCAACAGCTGGGTCCTTGGTCGTCTCACCCCACAGGGGCTCCCGCGACGCACCGTCTGACGTCAGCAGTTATAGCGCGCGCCCGGCCGACGGCCGTTCCAAAAATAACCCCCGTCTCGACCGGCGCGCCCCCACCGCGAAAAAGGAGCAGCCATTACTGTACTGATGTGTGCAAAATGGGTAATGTTTTTTATATGTTAGAATCTGCTGCGTGCTTATCATGACCCGTCTATGAATCTTGAGCAGCGAACTGATTTTAAGTAAAAATATCTGACGGTGTTGGATAGTCTTTTCTGGCAACTCTGGTATAAATTCATGCTACTAAGAAAGCTACCAAATAAAATGTGATATAATTTAGAATCATTCAAAGGTCTGTATGTGCAACTACCCAATCATAGTTTTAAGGCAAAACTCAGTTAATTTTATAATATAATGAACTAATAATTTGACGAGAAAATCTCAACCTAGGAATTTCCTACTAGACGCACCGAAATAGCCCGTATCCGACTAGATTCGGAGCCCTCTGCCGGCAGCTGTCCTTTTTCGCTGGACCCCAGGCGGAGAGGCACGGAGCGGACCGATCCCAACCAAACTGGTAAGATACGACGAAAAATGCAATATTGCGTGAAGAATGTGTACCTACAATATGTGATTGCCTTCCCGACAACTTTAACAATGCATAAATTATGTCCATTTGATTCCTATTCAAGACATTGGACCACTTCATAATAAACGAATTTAATCAAACTAAAAATTGAGTTCATTCGTTATGTATTCATACGTAGGCATATAGTTGGTAGTTAAGTACTTGAACTTTCAACACGCGATAGGCGGAATACCTACGAATAGACAGAGCAGATACACACGTTACACACGTCTACATGCTGCGATGAGGTGAAAATGTCCGTCAAGACATCCCATATTCAGCTCAGCTTCAGTCTTATTCGGAACGCCTCGGATCCACTCGAAACTGGAGCCCCTTGTAAAGGGAACACATGCCCCAAACTTGGCCCAAACCATTCGGCGTCATTCCTAGCCGTTTGACCTGAGGTCAACAAAGGTCACGGTCCCCAAACTTACACAGTACCTATATTATGGTCCACCCAGTCGGAGCTAGAGCACAAAAAAAAAACGGCACCAAACGACTTGCATGACCTGGGCTGAACATAGTTTTCCCATTGTCAATGTTGTTCCTCAAAGTCATGCGATGACCTAAGGTCATTTACAGGTCGTCCAGAAAAAATGGCACGGCTTTTCCGGAAACATACGACTAGAAACAGTTCAAATGCAAAGCACACGATTCATTAGCCATAGAACTTACTAACTGCAAAACCCTAGTAAATATAATGACCTCGTTTGACCTAAGCTGCATGAAGAGCTAGGAACCGACGCACTGGCCCCAGCCCGGATTCAGCCCAATTGGAGACGTCTCAGGCTCGGATGCACTCAAACTCACACACAACAGAGTCCTCTGAAAAGGCGACACGTAGCCCAAGCAAATCAGCGTCACACCTAGCCGCTTAATCCTTAGAGGTCAACAGAGGTCAAGACCTCAACTTTGCACCGCATATTGTGAGCCACCTAGTGGTCTAGAGCACGGCACCAAAGGACTCTCCATGACCTGAAACTACTTTCCACAATTAATTTTAGCTCTGAAGGTCAGGTGATGACCTTGGGTCATTTATGAGTGAAGCCAAGAGACACTTGCACAAACGTTTTTTTTTTTTTAATATTCCAAAATCCACGTAATGACATGATGTGGAGATGGAATTAAATTGATGAAATACTAGGACTTACTCCACAAGGAGATCGAATGGGTCGGAGCGCTTTCAATATGTATTATACATATCGTCGTCAGCGAATCAATAACGGGTCGAATCGAGTCGGGTATCGAAGAGGTTCGACTTCGAAAAACCTCTTCGATACCCGACTCGATTCGACCCGTTATTGATTCGCTGACGACGATATGTATAATACATATTGAAAGCGCTCCGACCCATTCGATCTCCTTGTGGAGTAAGTCCTAGTATTTCATCAATTTAATTCCAAAATCCATTAGGAACCATTGCAATCGGGTAGACATCATTCGGTAGCTCAAAGACTCCAGCATCTTTCCGTGCAAACCGCTTGTGTATATGTGACCTTTCACTGCGAGAGCATTTGACCAGGTTGTGACCTGCCCCGCTCGCTCGTCAGTCGCGATGATCCGCTCTCTGTTGGAGACTGCCCAGAGCAGTCCGTTCCCGTCGGTACCGGTGGCCCACTGCGAGCCGGCCGCAGAGCCCGCCCAGCCCTCGCTCGTGCACGGACGCAACATCGCCGCCTTCAGCACCGCAGGTCAGTGGAGGCACTGGAGTCGATGGGCCGTGGTGGGCTTACGCAGACGGACAGGCGGAGAAACGAGCGGGGTGCATTTCGAAGCGAAAAATGAAAACGGAGGGTAAAGTGCCAAGAAATGCCTCTGGGATGTCTACTTCCTTCGTAGGTCATTCGCAGTTCCGTCACCCATGAAAGCGGGATTCTTCTTAAAGGACCTCATAATTCATATGCGAGAGGCTTGTTCTGGCACAGGCCAGGCAGCAGGTTAATGCATCTTGCTAAAACAATTAACCCGCGCCCGGCTGGGGGTCCTGGATTTCCACGCCCAGCTGGGGGGGGGGGGTGTTTGAACACCCCCCCCCCCCTTCTAACTCGGCTCCTGGGCACGTAGCGATACGCGGAAGATGGCGTTCGAAAGAGCGCCAAAAATAATAACGAAATCACTTAGGTCAATTTTTTGGTCAGGTCAAAGGTCAGGTCACCAGAGGTCACTGAAGGCAAAATTTCGCCGATTTCCAGGTCGAATGTCGACAATTTCCAAGAAGCCAACGCATAACTCGGGAACCAATAGAGCTACAGCGCCGCAGAAAAGCGCATTCGATAGCCCTAATAACGCCCTTTCTGAATAATTTCTCAGATTTAACTTAACGTCAACGGTTTTGCCTGCAGGGGGCAAAAACTGCAAAAATAACCGATTTTTTCGGAAACAGTTTTCTGCAATAACTTTTGACCCAAGCCTTGTACGAGCTTACTTTTATCGGCATCGTGTTCCTCTCGTCAATACGCATCGAATGAACTATACTTGATCTTGAAAGGTCAACTTGAAAATTTGACCTTAGGTCAAGGTCATGACCTGACCGGAAAGGGTCGTGTTGCATATCAGTCGATCCGTATCGTCGAGCTGAACACAGCTAAGGTGTTTTCATCGCTCTAGCATGCTTCTATCAAAAGTTATTTACGAAAAACTGTTAGATACCATTCGTGACCTAAGATGACCTCAGGGCATAAACAGGGGTCACGGACACCATTTTCATGTTCAGTGTGTCTAAACCACTTGTAATTCAGTGTTTGGGAGTGTTTATAATGTCTTTCGTCCAAAAGAGGCGCATTTCAATTTTCTCCCATTGACTTATAATGGGGAGGTCGCAAAATTGACCTGACCTTAGGTCATCGATATCAAAATTCTGAGATATACATTTTGTACGTGCTATTCCTTTTAGCAATCTCTGAAAGTTTCAAAGCGATCGGTCACTCGGTGTAGCTATGACAGATACCTATTGAAACTTTTTATGAGGTGAGGTCACTTCAAGTGACCTGGTGACCTGACCTTGAATCAGGGGCGGACCCAGGAATTTTCGGGAAGGGGGGCGGCAAGTCGAAATAGGGGCGACCTGGCAATCCGGGGGCGCTCCATACAAAGGGGGCGCCAAACCGTCAAAATCGGGAGCTAAAAGCCCGCGCCGTGCAGGGGGCGTTATCGCGCTCCCCCTCAGGTTTTTCGCAAATATCTGAAAAACGGCTGCGCGCAGCGCCGCCATTTTCAGCATACCTTATCATGCATCTTTTTTGCACATGTTGTAAAAATGTCTGACGCGGGTTATGGAAGGTCAGGTCACCAGGTTATGCCAAGTGACCTAGCCTAAGAAAAAGTTCAAATGCTTACCATTGCTATACCGACTGAACGATTGCTTTGAACCTTTCAGCGATTGATGAAAGCAACACTATTCATGAAATGTATATCCCGGAATTTCGATATCTGTGACCTAAGGTCAGGTCAGTTGTGCGACGTCTCCTTTAGGTAGGTAGGTATAATTAAGTCTTTGGGAGAAAACTGAATGGCATCTCTTTTGGACGAGCGCCATTCTAGACAATATCAAGCATTGGGATACATATAAAATTAACACACTGAATAAGAACATTGCACCTAGTGTGACCACTCATTATGTCCCAGAGGTCATCCCATGTCATGAAAGGTCCGCAGCAGTTTTTTTTTTAAAATAACTTTTGATAGATTCAAGCTAGAGCGATAAAAACACCTCAGCTGTGTTCAGCTCGACGATACGCATCGACTGCTATGCAGCATGACCTTTCCCGGTCAGGTCATGACCTTGACCTGAGGTAAAATTCTCAAAATTACCCTTCATAAGGTCAACCTTTAGTTTGTTCGACGTGTCTCGACGACAGAAACGCAATGCTGGCAAACGTAATGTCGAGACTCCCTTGAGTCAAAAGTTATTGCAGGAAAACATTGTTCGTAAAAAGGCTATTTTTAGAGTCTTTTGCCCTCTGAAGGCTAAACCGTTGACCTGAGGTCAAATCTGAGCGCAGCTTGCAGAAACACCTTTAAAAGGGCTATCGAATGCGCTTTTCTGCGGCGCTATAGCTCTATTGGTTTCCGAGTTATGTGCCGCTGCTTCGAAAACGGAAAAAAAATGTTGAAACAGGCAACATTTTACCTTTGATGACCTCTGGTGACCTGACATTCGACCTGACCTAAAAAATGACCGTTTCGTTTTCGTCCTGTTTTTTGACGATCTTTCGAATGCCGCTTATCGCATGTCACTATAACGCGGCCCAGGAGCCGAGTTAGACGAGGGAGTGTGCCCCCCCCCCCTCCCCAGCAGGATACGGAAAACTCAGACCACCAGCACGGCACGGGTTAAAAGTCGTAGATGGGCACCGCTACCCTAGCAAAAGATATTAGCAAAAAGGTGACCTCCATTTACTGGTGCAGTCCTCCTTCTCCCGGTGATGCCCCCTCCTTTTTCTGGAAGCGTCTCACTTATGCTGGTATGCCTCACTTCCCGGGGGCGCCCAACCTCTGCTTGGATCGCCTAATCCATTATGGAGAGACCCACTTTGCTTAAGTCGCCTCATTTCTTCCTTCTAAGAACGACCAATTTGCTGTAGGCGGCCCACTTATCTGGGACGCCCATCTTCTGCTAGAAGTGCCCCTCTTCTTCCTGATGCGTCCCACTTCTACTACGAGTGCACCTTTTCTGTTAGGGCGCCCCTTTGCTGCTGAGGAGTCTTTTCTACTGTGGATAGTCATAGTCATAGTCATAGTCAGGTTTATTAAGAGCTCCATAAAACATGGCTTTTCTGCCCTCTCGTCAATACAAGTTGTAAAAAAGACGAACACATAAACTATCTAAAAATATGTCCTAAAATAGCGCTCATCAAACGTGTACACGAGTCACAGACGATTCATGCACCCGGCATTCCAAACAGACACGGATCTGTACGGAAAAGTACGTTTTCCACGCTCGGTCCTTACTCTAGGGAGCTCCAATTTGAATTGACCAGCACACACACCGCGAGTGGCCCTGACTGACACCTCAGAGCGACTGCGCACTAGATCGGCCAACGCCGGAGGCGCCCCGGACGACATCAGCCTGCGCAGCATGGCCGCGTCCCTCTCCTCTAACATACCGTCAAGACGCCGCCACCCCAACGACTCCAGGGCGGGAGTGACGTGCTCACGCCGGGACAAGCCAGTAACTATACGGGCTCCAAAATTTATAGCCTTTTGCACTCGCTGGCGGAGAGTAACAGAACAGCTGCCCCATACCGTTAAGCAGTAATGCAGATGGGGAAACACGAGTGCCTCGATCAGTAACTTTTTTGTTTCAAAGGGCAGCCTGTGTCTTATCTTAGAGAGACCAACGAGAACGAAGAAACAGCGGCTAACAACCTGAAATACTTGTTTTTCCCATGATAATTCAGAGTCAACAAATAGGGCGGCCCTCTCCTGTTTGGCGACCCCAAATTCTGCTGGAGGCGCCCCACTTTGGTGGGGTGCCCCTCTCTTGCAGGGGGCACTTCTCTTTTGCTGGAGACGCCACTCTTGTGGGGGCGCCCTTCCACTGCGGGGAACGTCTCTTCTGCCAGAGGCACCCCTTTTCTTCTTATGGGGCTCCTGTTTTTTTTTCTGGGGCGAGGCGACCCTCTGCTGCTCGGAACGGGGCACACCTCTCCTTTTACTGGGGCACCGCCCCTCTGCTGGGGTTGCCCTTCCGCTGTCGTCAGGGGCGCCCCTCTTGGTAGAATATACTCCTTTTCTTTTTGTAATGGGGCGCCCCTCTTCTACCGGGGGCGCCCATCTGCTGCTGGGGCGTCTGTCTTCTGCCGGATATTGTCAATGGGGCGCCCATATCCTGTTTGGCGGGCCCAACCTCTGCTGGAGGCTGCCTATTTCTGATTAACTTTTGCTGTGGCGCCTCTCTTCTGCTGGGGCGCCCCTCTTCTGCTTGGGGCGCCCGTCTCCTACTGGAGAACCCTCTCTTCTGCTGGGGCGCCCCTCTTCTGCCAGTGGCACCCATTTTCTTATTATGGGGCTCCTTTTTTGCTGGGGCGCCCCTCTTCTCGGAATGGGGGCGCCTCTCTCCTTTTGCTGGGGCGTCGCTCCTCTTCAGGGGGACACGTCTCCTGCTAAGGGTGCCCTTCCGCTGCCAGGGGCGCTCCTCTTGAACAGAAGGTATTTTATATTCTTGTAACGAGACGCCCTCTTCTGCTGGGTGTTGTATTATGGTCCGACCCCCGCACGGCTGCTGGCCGCGCCTGCGCGCGCCCCTGCCGCCGCCACCGCTGGCCGCCCCGGCTTCGTGCCTGTGAGCGCCTCTGCCGCCGCCAGCTGACGGTGCGCGCGGAGCGGCATGACTGGCGCGGGCGACTAGGCGCGGCGCTCGCGATACTTGTTATCTTTTGGACACTCTTGCGGCCTGAACGTATCGCAGTATAATAAATCGCGTTTTCCATTGATTGTGTGCTCTTTCACTCGAAACGAACCAAAACATAACATGGCGCGGTCGGTTTTGTAATTACGTGACTGAGCAGCTTACAGCGCGATGAAGAAATTTTTGATTCAAGAACTGACGGCGCTGCTGGAGAGGCAGACGGAGAGAGCCGCCGAGGCCGACAAGCGCCTGGAGCGTTTGGAGAGGCTGCTGTACAGAGAGCCCTCCGCGGGGACCGGGACGGGCACGACGACCGGAGTGTCAGAGTCGGGGGCTGAGCGAGGCGCTGATGGATCCGTTGGACCAGCTGCCGCCGCCCGCCGGACTGTCTGCCTGCTGGTGTCGGCGACCCCGACCCCGCAACCGAAGTCGGCATCGACGTGCGACGACCGTGCCGAGTGCAGTGTGCCCGACAGTGGTTCAGGAGCGGTGAGCCGCAGGCTGGAGGACTCTGAGCTGACGCTCAAATACGCCGTGAACGTTTGTCGGGCGAGCGATGGTGCCCGTGTCACGTGCCCAGACCTCCGCGGCAACGAGGGACATTACGCGGCGCGCCTGCCGGCCTACAAGAGGCGCAGGCGGCCGAGTGTCGCCCATTCCGCCACCGCTACAGATCGGGATCGTCAGTTTCTTGAGCGGTGCCCTACCTGCGGCCGTCGCCAGCACGCCGGCGGAGACACGTGTCGCGCCGCTGGCGCCATCTGTCGTGCGTGTGGGGAACGGGGACATTTTGAGGTTGTGTGCCACCAGAGGGCCAGCGTCACGGCCGATCGTCCAGTGGTGCCATCTGCAGTGACAACAGTACGCGACTCTCCGGGGGTGGCGCTAGTAGCGGTAGCCGCCGGCACCGCCGTGTCACCGCCGCCGGCGGACACGGGCCCAGCCGGGCACACTGCGCTGCAGCCCACGGAGCTGAGTGACGCTGCTGACGTCCACGGAGCCTCGCCGCCGCCGGCGGGGGGCTGGCCAACGCAGACAACGGACAGCAATGAAGCCCCGGACAACGCCGTGTCACCGCCGCCGGCGGACACGGGCCGAATCGGATGTGCTGCGGAGCAGCCCACAGAGCCGGACGGAGCTACGGGCGCCTACGGAGCCTCGCCGCCGCCGGCGGGAGGCATTCCAACGTGCAGCACGGACGGAGTGTACGGAGCCTCGCCGCCGCCGGCGGGAGGCCAATCGGTTGCCACCGGCGCCGCCGTGTCGGTGCCGCCGGCAGACACGGGCCGAGGAGCCGGCCGTACCGCGGCGCAGCCCACCGAGCCGGCTGGCGCGCGCGGAGCCTGCCCGCCGATTATGGTCCGACCCCCGCACGGCTGCTGGCCGCGCCTGCGCGCGCCCCTGCCGCCGCCACCGCTGGCCGCCCCGGCTTCGTGCCTGTGAGCGCCTCTGCCGCCGCCAGCTGACGGTGCGCGCGGAGCGGCATGACTGGCGCGGGCGACTAGGCGCGGCGCTCGCGATACTTGTTATCTTTTGGACACTCTTGCGGCCTGAACGTATCGCAGTATAATAAATCGCGTTTTCCATTGATTGTGTGCTCTTTCACTCGAAACGAACCAAAACATAACACTGGGGGCGCCCATCTGCTGCTGGGGCGACTCTCATCTGCTGGGAATAGGCAATTGGGCGTCACTCTCCTGCTTGGTGAGCCCAACTTCTGCTGGAGGCGCCCTATTTCTGCTGAACCTTTGCTGTGTCGCCGCTCTTCTGCTCGGGGCGCCCTCTCTGCCGCGGGATATGGGCGCCTTTTTCGGATGGCGGGGGGGGGGGGGGGGGCGGCCGCCCCCGTCGCCCCTCTGGATCCGCGCCTGCCTTGAATGACCTTGGTCTGAATTTTTCACATGTGTAGAATTGATGTATGATAAGGTGTAGCAATGAGATATTCGCGAAAAAAACACAACGGGGGTGTTCAAACACACACACACACACACCCCCAGCAGGGCGCGGGTTAATGTTAAAAATACGCTGACTTCATCTGCAGCAACTGAAGTGAATGTGCTCAGGTATATACTCTTCAGTGAAGTGAATCCCATTTATAACCCCATCGCCCTGCTCTCCACCGCGTTTCAGAGCCCGAGTACAGCTGCGAGTATGGCTCGCCCAAGTTTTTCGCCATCGCCGGCCTGGGCGGAGTGCTGTCGTGCGGTATCACGCACACGGCCATCGTGCCGCTCGACCTGGTCAAGTGCCGCCTGCAGACCGATCCCGAAAAGTACAAGGGCATCGTCAACGGATTCCGGGTAGGTAACATTGTCGATCTGTTGTCAATACAGGGACCTCAGAACAATAAGGAATCAAAGTTGCTTTGTCCCTATATCAATGCAACATCTAACGGTACTGATTCAAAGAACACTTTTTTGGAAAGTAAAAGGTCAAGTTCCCTTGTCTCCGCCACATGACACTCCTACACTAACGTTCCCACATCATCCCTTTCACAGGTCTCCATCCAGGAGGAGGGAGTGCGAGGCCTAGCGCGCGGCTGGGCGCCCACCGCCATCGGCTACTCGATGCAGGGCCTCTGCAAGTTCGGCTTCTACGAGGTGTTCAAGCACCTGTACTCCAACATCCTGGGCGAGGAGAACGCCTACCTGTGGCGCACCTCGCTCTACCTGGCCGCCTCGGCGTCGGCCGAGTTCTTCGCCGACATCGCACTGGCGCCCATGGAGGCTGCCAAGGTGGGTATGGGTCCATGGGAGCGGTCAAGGCGGGCACGGGCCTATAAGGCCCGCCCTGTAGGCTTGGGCTTCCCGGTATCTAAAGAAGCTACGCGACCCATAATTGTAACTAGAGTGGGACACCATCGAAACCGTTGATTTCAGTGGACGGCGCCCACTGCTGAGTGTGGATAGCACCAGTAATCTTCGTGAGAGTAAACAAAAGTGTCTCTTGGTCTTGATTTCTATCAGAAAACTTGTTTGATGCTACTTGGCTTCTACCCTTATCGCTTTAACTGCCGATGGGACAATAATGTCATCGCTTGAATGTTTGCAGACAGTCGTTGTCTGGCATCACATCAAAGCACCCCAGCTTTCCAGACATCTCGTAACCCTAGACCGACCCGCTCCAATCGCTGCCGCAGTGTGATCAGATTGGACACATCACTTGTAGACGCAGACAAGCCGGTGGTGACACTTTCTCGACCTCTGACCGACAGGTGCGCATCCAGACCATGCCGGGCTTCGCGTCGACCCTGCGCGAGGGCTTCCCCATCATCATGAAGCAGGAGGGCTGGTGGGGCTTCTACAAGGGCGTGGCGCCGCTCTGGGCCCGCCAGATCCCCTACACCATGATGAAGTTTGCCTGCTTCGAGCGTACCGTTGAAGCGCTCTACCAGTGAGTTGATATGGCGACACGGTTCCTTGAAACTCAGAGACGATGATGCTCTCAATGAAATGTAGTTACCACTGCCTTCATTACGAAGGTATTTTGCTTGTGCCATCCTGCTCATAGGAACGTCTTGTCCCGTGTCGTTCTGTCCTGTGTAGTTCTTCGTGCCTGGTGAGTCTTCGCTGACCTCCCGACCCTACTCCGTCCGCAGGTATGTGGTGCCCAAGCCGCGCGCCGAGTGCTCCAAGGGCGAGCAGCTGGTGGTGACGTTCGCCGCCGGCTACATCGCCGGCGTGTTCTGCGCCATCGTCTCCCACCCGGCTGACACCGTCGTCAGCAAGCTCAACATGGCCAAGGGCTCGTCGGCCATCGACGTCGCCAAGAGCCTGGGCTTCATGGGCATGTGGAAGGGCCTGACGGCGCGTATCATCATGATCGGCACACTGACGGCGCTGCAGTGGTTCATCTACGACGGCGTGAAGGTGGCGCTGCGCGTGCCGCGGCCGCCGCCGCCCTCCATGCCCGAGTCGCTCCGGCTCAAGCTTGAGGCCAAGCAGCAGTAGGTCGGAGGCCAAGCGCCAGTAGGGATGGAGAGGTCCCCGTGCCGCTCCCCGCACTCTAGTCGAATACTCAGAAGATGTCGTGATCTTGCTGCGTGTCGTGGAACCACGTTCAGCTGTTGAGCAGTTGAATCGGTACTAGGACAAATCATAAATGCTCATTCTGTTCTTGGGCATTATCAAATGGCGTCATTCTGAGCAGTATTTTGAAGAGGAAATACAATGCATATGTCAGTCATATGAAGGAAATACATAGGATGAAACGACTGCCCTGTGTTAGAAGACGTCGCGCCCTATACCAACATGATGAACGTGTGTCTTTGAGTAGCTTTTCGCAGATATCGGACGGCCTGCACAAGGCGAGGCAAGACAAGACAAGGCACGGTCATTTAACGCTCGCCCTGGCAGGGCATTTTTCATAACACTGTCAGGGGGAGGGGGGGGGGCGTCGATGCGATCCCCCTCGCGATTGGCTCCTATGGCACCTAGAAACACCAAATTTGGTAGGTAGGTGGGCCCCCCTGGAATTCTCGCCCCTGTGCAAATTTGGTTGCTCTAGGTCAATATTTAGGGTTTTTGGGGGTACCTATGAGTGTATATTTCTTTTTTGCTGAAACGGGTCAAAAGTTTTTCGCTGGAAACTTTTGATCTAATTAAGATAGAGCAAAAACAAAAGCACCAGTGAACTCAGCACGTCGAGGCGCGTCAAATGATATACTTTTTTGCCTGCTTAAGTGTACTTAAAAAGTTAAGCATATCTTAAGTACATCTAAGTCTTAAGAATGGTCGAAATGCTCAATGTTGCATATCACTTGACTCGGCTGTTCAAGAGGAACAGAATGATACCATTTGGAAAGCTTTATCTTAATTATATGACAAGTTATTGGCACAATAACGTCTTTTGACCTCAGTTGACCTCATTTGACCTGACCCATGGATAACTCCACCAAAAAAAGAAGAAGCGCCAAGTGACATAATCTTAAGTACCTACTGTGGTTTCAAAGTACAAAAGTGATAGAACGAAGTGGATATCTCCAGTATTTTCCGAATTGAATATTTTCCCATAGGCTTAACATCACGACGTAATGACCTGTAACTGACCTGAGATCAGTGACATAAAAAACCGAACTATATGTTATACAACTCGGTGAACTTAGCACATCCTGAAAGCTTGAATGAAATCAGTCCAAAACTGTGAGTTGGACAGGTGCGTAAAGAAAATTGAAATTTGACCATAACCTTGTACCGGTTTTTCTGACCTGGTGACCTGACCCAAGGTCACCCAGACCTGAAACTTTCAGGTCATATGTAAAAAGGTTGCCCCATGGGCTGTGCCAAATTTGGCGGCGCGCGCCGTTGCAGCGTCGCCGTTTTTAAACTATCTTCGAAAAACCTTAGAGGGGGGGGGGGGGGGTCACATCGACCCCCCTGCCAGGGCGAGGGTTAAGAGCCTTTCATGGCCCCTGGAATATTAATTAACACTCATTATCACGGTTGGAATAAATACACATGTTATCACCAGTAAAATGCCTTATGTATAGGGCGACAAACGGAGCGAGCGAGAGGGTGAGCCTTGCAAGTGCGAAAGGGGTACCTCCAACTGACTGGTGCACGGCACCCTTCTAACTGGTCTCTAGCAATGTGCTAAATTTGAGCGCAATCGGCCCAGCCGTTCTCGAGATCTGGAAGCGGCACCCTGCACGTGCGCATGTGCAAAATGGGTCCCAACTGATTTTTGCACGGCACGCTACTAACCGGTACCTAACCATGTACCAAATTTCAGCGCAATTGGTTCAGCCGTTCTTGAGATCTGGAATCGACCCCTGCACGTGCGCACGTGCAGCAGCACTCCGACTGTGGCACATGGATATACATTGCCCAGTGGGTGCCTACTGCTTACGTACATACATTCCAACTTTCAGCGCAATCGGCCCAGTAGTTATCGAGGTTCGAGATGTTGCCGTTGTTACAAAACTGACAACTCTTCGTTTTGCACGTGGCACGTGCATAAGGCGTCACCCGCGTGCATCGGGAGTAGTCCAATACATGGTAGAAGGAAGGAAGTTACCCTACAAAAATTACCGCATGTAAATCGGTCAAGTGGTTGCTGAGATATAAGCATCGCAAAAGCGTTACAGACCGGGCCGGGCCAGGCATACTGAGACTTTTTCCATGGGAAAGACTCCGCTCGCTTCGCTCGCTCCGTAACAAATCGCAAAAACGTACCGTCGAATCTGACCTGACCGAGCATGGAAATGACAGCGCACCAACCTATTGGGAAACTGTTTTTAGGTTACGTTTTTTTTTGTGATGACGGATGAACGCAAAGCTCTTGAGATCTTCGACGTGAAGTCTTGAGGATGGTGGTGCATCAGCCCACATGCCGGCGAAGATTATCCCGCTGAGGGAGGGCAGATTCTATCCTCTGTCAGCTTCCGATTGGATGGTCGTAGAAAGACGGAGAACGACGCGGATCAAATGGGTCCACCGGATGACGCTTTGGCTGTCGTGAGCCGTGCAGACTCCAGCGGGTAGAAAATAAAACACCTCCATATTGTAGATATTTCGGACGCTGCAGACGCCTCTCGCCTAGGCTTGAGGCCCCAAAAAACTGCTAGAAATGTGTTTAACTTGAAAAAGTGAGCCAAGGTCATCTACGGTCAATGACCTTGATTTGACCTTCACGTAACCTTGACACCGGCACCATCCAAGCCAACAAATTTGGTCTGGGCCGTAGCTGGTTACATCTCTGGCTAGCTCCGGCATTTGCTCCGGCCAGAGTACGGGCAAGGTCTGCGGCTCTACTGAAGCTAGCACACGATCCCAGAGCTCGCCCGCACCACAGCCGGCCGTATCAGCCGTGCCGTACCTCAACCGTACTTCAGCCACAGTAAGCCAGAGCAGCTAAGAGGCAGCCGGACCTGGCCGTAGGGAGCCGGACTTGAGCCGTGGCAGGGAGCCGGACTTGAGCCAGACTTGGCGGTCCGAAACCATACCAACTCGGGAGCGCTACGGCAAAGGCTGGCTAACCGGAATAGAGCCATATCGACCCAAACCCCGGCTCTGACGGCGTTCCGTTTACACAGGCCCAAGTCTGGCATGTCGGAGTTGCCGGGGCAAAACGGACTTGAGCCAAATCAAAGTGCTGGTTGGGACACGCTGAATCGCGAATCAGGCCTAACATGGTCTAGAGAAACGTGTGGCTAAAAAGAAACCGGACTGCTCGTGCTGGCCATAAACTAGGGGACCCCAAGACTAGCGAGACACTTGGCATTAATCTTTAGCATATTGTCGTGATGTGTGCCAAACGGCATCTCGATATCGCAATTATTCTCCTTTCCACAGCTCTTTGTTTTATCGATGTTCGGCGGCCTTGTCATCGCCAGGCTTCTACGATGAACTTCGAAAAAAGAGCGAACATCACGTTCCTTCCCAGACTGGAGAAAAGTCCAACAGAGACGCTGAATCTGTTCAAAGCTGTTAATGGGGAGCAAGTCATGTGTAACATGCAGGTGTTTGAATGGCATACGAGGTTCAGCACTGGTCGTGAGGATGTCGGTGATGACCCCAAGGTCTGGAGGTCCATCAACGTCCGCGCGCATGTCGAAGTCGAGGGTGGAGACGACATTGATCGTCTTTTTCCATCATAGGGGATTCGTTCACCGCCAGTTCGTGCTGGAGGTGTACTTACCACAGTCGACCAGCCACTTCTACAAGGAAGACCTGGGACGCCTCATTTCACGAGTCAGGCGCACCAAGTGGAGTTTCTGGGAAGCCTAGAACTGGGTGCTCCATCACGACAACGCTCCCGCGCATTCTGTCATTAGCGTTCAGCAGTTCGTTGCCGAAAAGCAGGTCGCGGTGCTCAAGCACCCTCCTATTTGCCAAACCTCCCTCCCTGTGACTTTTGGCTGTTCCCTGAAATGAAAAACATCGTCAAGGAAACCCATTTTGAATCAGTCGAGGACATCCAGACCGGAGTGACCAGCGTCAGCGTCATCAATAAAACAAAGAGCTGTGGAAAGGAGAATAATAGCGATATCGAGGTGCCGTATGGCACACATCACGACAATATCATAAAGATTAATGTCAAGTGTCTCGCTAGTTTTGGGGCCCCCTACTTTATGGTCAGCACGAGCAGTCCGGTTTCTTTTTAGCCACACCTCGTATAAGTGCGAGGGTTAAAAACGGATTGTATTGCTACGCACAACTGACATGAGAAAATCCGTTCGTTTATAATACATTTATCCGTTCGTTTGCATTTACCTGCTGAGTGCTGCGTCAATAGTGAGAGACTAGGGTGACCCGCGTGCTCCGCAACGCGAAAAGGGATATTTTCGATCGGCGGGTGTTTGGTTGTTCTTGTGTCGGTTGGGTTATCTATCCGTTTCGGTCGATTGCTTTTTGACGGTTCAACGATTTGGTTTGCAAAAAAGTATCCACCGCATCGAGGTGCCCGTGTCTGATAAGCATGCTTTCCACTTCAGAATCTGTCAAATGTGTTTTATAATTGAGGTGCGTAGTTTTAAGACAAATGAAAGGCGTAGATAATTTTCGCTAAAAATCGTTTTGCAGAGGTTTGAAACATTTATATTTTTAAGAATACTGTTGCTTGTCATGCAAACGTGATGATTGGATCTTGGAGAGAATTGAATGCTCTTTCTAATGATAGCATTTTCAATTGTCAAGCGTATCAGGTTAAGCAGCAAATCCCGTGTAACTTTTTAGTGGCACATTTTGGACAAATACCATTTAATTCAGCGATTTTTTCCACATTGTTTTTGATCAATTAGCTTTTCACAATTTTTCCATGAGAGACGGTACATTTTTATTGCTAATAGGCGCTGTTTCAACTCATTCCGTCTGACGATCACCTGAAATTAATATAAATTCCAAAATCCGTTTAAAATGGCACTTTTTGAAATGAAATTGCCCTCACACTTGCACGTGGCGCGTGCCACCCCTGCACCGCACACTATTCGATTGCCCGTTCGATTCTCTACACAATGCTGTTTTCCCCGTGCCGATCGGGCGCACGGCTACCGAGATATTGCACGGGGAACGGACCCGTGTCGGGCAAATTTAGCCATTTTCGCCCGTTTTTGCCAGCCGATTTATACATGTAAAGTCTATGACGCGAATTTGCACTTTTTGGGCACGCGCCACGCGCTCGCTATCGATCCGATATAGCCGAGACCGCTCAAAGGCACGTTGTCCATCCTTGTTCTATAACTTGCGCAAATTTCAGCGCGGTAGGTGCAACGGTG